ATCTTTCATTTTCCGCTGTGATGTATAAGACTATGTTATGGTATTACTCGTGATGTAAGATACACCGTGATGATACTTTTGTAATTTGTCAACTTATGTGTGTGACTGATCCCTGGGCACACATGAGTTTAGTGCATTCAATTTTATCCTTAAAATTGGGTGTGACAAAGGCTTGCTCAGATCATTTTCAGATTCTACAGGCCTCCATGTCAACTTTACAAAGTCTTTCCTAGTACCCATCAACATGAGCAATTACAGAGCTACTCACCTTGCTAACACCTTTAAGTGTAAAGTAGGTTCTATGCCCTTCACCTACTTGGGTTTGCCCCTTGGAACCACCAAGCCCACCATCACTGAATATGCACCCCTGCTTACAAAAATAGAAAAATGGCCATCTGGCATTTGTAAGAAGATGCTATCTTACAATGGAAGACTCATTCTAGTGAACTCTGTTTTTGCAGCACTCCCAACATTTTACATGTGTAGCTTGAAAATTCCACTTCAAGTTGTCAAACAGATAGACATTTTCAGGAAGCACTACTTATGGAGCAAGGGAGACATAAACAGGAAGGGCAGTTGTTTGGCTGCTTGGGACATAGCGTGCAAACCAAAGGATCAAGGAGGGCTTGGCAATATAGATATACAGAAACAAAATGATGCCTTGTTGATGAAATTCCTGGATATGTTCTATAATTGTGCAGATGTTCCTTGGGTCACTCTTACTTGGTCCCATTTCTATTCAAATATCCAAACCCCACCCGATGCCAGAAGCCCTGTGGGATCCTTCTGGTGGAAAGATATCATGAGACTATTTGAAATATTTCAAAGTCTTACACCGTGCTATCCCAACAAAAGCAATTCAGTACTCTTCTGGTCAGATATCTGGGTGGAGCAGTCCATGAAAGATAAATATCCCCAACTATTCTCCTTTGCAAGGAAACCCAAATGCTCTGTCAGGTTCTACCTAAATCAAACTTTGGATAGAATTTTCAGTCTTCCTCTTTCTCAACTAGCTGCTGCATAGCTTGAGGAGATGCAACAGTTAATACAAGACAGAGTTTGGGATGATTCTATCAGTGATGCTTGGAGTTACAGTTGGGGTTCCTCGTGATACAGCAGCAAAAATGCCTACAAGATTCTTATAGGCACCACTGCAGCCTCCCCACTCTTCAGATGGTTGTGGGCCTCAAGCAATTTGGGTAATCACAAATTTTTCTTCTGGCTGCTTCTAAGAGGTAGATTGAATACAAGGAACCTGCTAAGGAGAAAAAATATGGCTCTAGATGACTATGACTGCGTCCTCAGTAATTTGGGCTCTGAAGAGACTTGTTTTCATCTATTTTTCGAGTGTCCTTTCAGTAGGGATTGTTGGGCAACCATTCCAATCAGCTGGAACCTGAACCTCAGACCCCTCGACATGATTCTTCAAGCCAGAGCAGACTTTGACAATATCATTTTCAGGGAAATAGTCATCACGACATGTTGGGTGATATGGACCACAAGAAACACAAGTATTTTTGATAATGAGCAGAGAGACATCAACCAATGGAAGAGACAGTTCAGTGCAGAGATTGGCTTGGTGTGTACCAAAGCTACACCTGATAGAAGTGCCATTCTTAGTTTATGGAGAGATAATTATTTGTAATTTTCCTCTTTTTCTTTTTGGGCCTGGATGCCTTGTACTTTATGTCTTGTTTCCCTTTTGTTGTACATATCATTGTTTCATTTAATGGAAAAGCAAAAAAATAGGTAGGGGATTCCCTTACTGATTCAGTCCCCTACTGATTTGGTAAAAAAAGCAATTTATAGCGTGCAAATTGTAATGATTGAGCACCATTAAGTTCATATATAGATTCAATAGTGAGACATGGGAGTAAACGGGAGAGGAGAGTATAAGTTAAGTTATACTAGGATCGAATCTCTAGCTATAGAATTTGAACAAGCAACTTTGCTGGTTGAGTATTTATGCAGAAGCAACATTAAGTCTCTTAAAAAAGTATAGTGAGGTTTCCTCAAAGAAAGTGTGGATTGCAGTTGTTTCCTATGTAAAGTGCGGTGGCGTCTTTGGTGCATGAGTTTATTACCGTAGAAGAAAGCAATTTTTAAGAGACTTGGATTGAACATAGAAAACTGGTGTTTGTAGTTGAACCACCAATGGTACGACCATGTTTCAATTGGTATATACTATACATACATCCAGAAAAGACAATTTTAGTTCTGTCTTTGCTGAAGATACGTAAAGTTTATCAAATTCATAAAAAGGATTATCAACATTTGTTACACCGAAATAGGTATGGTATGGGAATAGATATTTCATGACAAATCTAGTTAGATATTGTTAGTTTTATAAACCTCGTTAAATTTGAAGGGTTTGACTCGGTGGTTATATTAGAATGAGCTGTTAGAAGTATTCTTGAACGGTAACGGCCTGTTTGGACGGCGCCTAGGGACGCCATGCCCAACATGCGGCCACGCCAAAAGTTGGGCAACCAAATTGGCCGCCACACATTTGGCGTGTTTGGGTCTAATATAACTTGCATGCATGCTGATAAGCTACGGCCAGAACTCCAGAAACAAAGCAAACGATGACCGAAGTGAGGTGTCCGAGGTGCGGCGGGTTTTGGCGGTGTTGGGCAATGAACCAGACATGCCCTAATGCTCTCTATCGAGCGTCCGTCCGGTAGGACGGGATGGACCCACCTGCCCCCGCACCTCACGCCACGTGCCTCGTGTGCCCCACCCATGCCTCCGCCTCATACCCCCACCCACGCCTCGTACCTCGCGCTGCTCTCGCCATGCGTCGCTCGTGCCTCGCGCCACGCACCGCTTACGCCTCGCACCCATGCTGCGCTCCGTCGCACCTCACACCTCCTGCCCGAACTCGTGCTGCACACAGCCAAGTTCCGACCTCCGTGTCGTGGCATCGAGCTCCGTGCTGACGTCAAGCTCCGCGTCAATGAGTGTCCATTAGGGGGTAACAAGTAGGTGAGCACATGTTGCAACCATTTGTTTCATGCGTTTCGGATGTATGTTGCATATGTTTAATCTAGATGTTGCAAAAGTAGATCTAGTGTTACATTGCAATGACTATACACATATATTGCAAGTGTATGTTTCTAATTTTTTAGTTGTTTCAAATGTATATTGCAAGTGTTTTATCTATTGCATATGTTGCACTGGCTATACATGTATGTTGCAAATGTATGTTTTAATTGTTTCAAACGTATGTTGCAAGTGTTTTATCTAGATGTTGCATATGTTGCAGTGCTCATACATATATGTTGCAAACATATGTTGTAAATATTTTATCTGTTTCGAACGTATGCTGCAACAAATGGTTTATGTTGCAAGTGTTTCATGAGTAGGCGCGACAAGGGGGCGCAAGCGAAGGTGGTCCCCTCGGGCGCAGTGGTCCCCGCTGGTGCGCGGGAAGCGAAGTGGGCGCGGCAACAGGCGTGGAACACAAAGTTGTATACATGGGCGTGGTAACAAGCTTGGAGTGCAAAGCTGTATTCATGAGCGGATAGTAGGCGTGGAGCACGAGGCGAAACGGAGCACGAAGCTGCATCCATAGACAGGCAGCAGGTGCGAAACACGAGGCGAAGCGGAGCACGAAGCTATATCAAAGACGCCCTAATGGTGTCATTATTAAAAGGGTAAAGTCCAATTTACAATCTCCAACTTTCACCAAAGTCTAGATTTTAACCTCGAACTTCAAAACCGGACAACTTTGGCCCTCCAACTCTTGAAAAAGTTCAACTTTCAACCTTCTGAAAGGTTTTGTGGGTGAACAGTAACTTTTGATATTTTCGGGAGGCTTCAAAATTTTATATTATTTTTTCGAGCATCTTAACGTCCTCAAATGAAAAAACTCAAAACTACAAAGTTGTAGATCTCATCGAGGTCTACAATTTACATATAAAAATTATCTTCATCCGATATCGTATTGAAGGGTTTTCTATTTTTTAAAATTTAAGTCTCATCACGCGATAAAATATGGTGCTGAAATTTTATATTATTTTTTCGAGCATCTTACTGTCCTCAAATGAAAAAAATTAAAACTATAAAGTTGTAGATCTCATCGAGTCAATACGATGTCGGATGAAGATAATTTTTATATGTAAATTGTAGACCTCGATGAGATCTACTAGTTTATAGTTTTAATTTTTTTTCATTTGAGGACAGTAAGATGCTCGAAAAAATAATATAAAATTTCAGCACCATATTTTATCGCGTGATGAGACTCAAATTTAAAAAAATAGAAAACCCTTCAATACGATGTCGGATGAAGATAATTTTTATATGTAAATTATAGACCTCGATGAGATTTTTTTGAATTTTTTCATTTGAGGACGTTAAGATGCTGGAAAAAATAATATAAAATTTCGGCGTCTCTCGAAAATATCAAAAGTTACTGTTCACCAGCAAAACTGCCCAGAAGGTTGAAAGTTGAACTTTTTCAAGAGTTTGAGGGACAAAGTTGTCCGGTTTGAGTTCGAGGTTGAAATTCGAACTTTGGTGAAAATTGGGCGTAAATTGTGATTAAAAACGGATGGGTAGTAGCGCAGGCGTCAGACGGGTCCGCACGGACGGGCGCTAGTCTCTCCGACTTAGGCAGTATTACCGAAAGCGCAACTGCAGGCTAAATCAAAGCCGATTTGTGATGTCAGTGTCCGTGGGCAGATTTTTGCAACTTGTCTCTGTCAGTAGTGTTGTTACGGTCCAGCGACCTGAATCACAGTTCGGAGGTTGTTTCCAATCGCAATTCACTTTGTAGAAAAACACGCGATGATTTGACAGGCTGGAACGTTTCTAGCAGACTAGCATATACATAATCATTGATAACCACGTTACATATATATACAACCAGTAGAAAACATCCTGGCACAACTGTAGACATTTCCATAGCATAATACGTATAATATTACCCAAAAAAAATGTGCAAACGGCATAGCTCTCTCTAAAGTCGAAACTACCCTGCAGCCGGAATCCCCGCGGAACTAAACCGGCGGCAGTGGCGGCTCGGGCGACGGATGCACAAGCAGCGTCTCGGGCGGTTGTTTGCCGGCCTTGGGCGGCAGCGGCGGCACTACGTGGGACCTGCACACCGGGCATGTCGCGTGCGAGTCGAGCCACATGTCGATGCAGCCGACGTGGAACACGTGCGAGCACGGCGGCAGCCGCCGCGTCGCCTCCCCGTCTTTCATCCCCTCGAGGCACACAGCGCACTGCACGGCGGGCTCGCCGAGCGCGGACGCCGCCGCTGAAGCCTTGTACGGGAACGGCGGCGCGACCGCGGCGATGGCCGTGGCCGAGAGCCCGCCGCGGCTGACCCGCACCAGCGCCGCCTCGGCGGCAGCTGGCCGGGCGGAGAGGGTACGAGCGGCGCACGAGAGCACGAAGAGGAGCGCGCAGTACATGGTGAGCGCGATCCACAGGTACCTGACGAACGCGGCCAGGATGACGAGGAAGAGCAGCAGCGGGTACGACGCCAGCACCAGCGCGATGCGGCTGCGCTGCGCGGCCACGGCTTCGCCGAAGACCTGTGAGCGCCACGGGTACTCCGCTGCCGCCGACGACATCTCTCTCTGGCTTGTTTGTTGTGGACTAGTGGCGGCTTTCGTGAGGCGCGTGCGACGAGTCTTGGCGCCATCTGCGAGAGATTTTTAAGCTGTCTTCTGGAATAACGGATAACGCCGTCCAGTTCTTGGACAGCGAATGCAGCAGGCAGCTGCAACTAGACAGGCCGCATTCGAGACCTTGGAGAGTTAATTATCGGCTAGGCATTAAAGTCGGTTCATAAGCTGCCTGAAGCTGTTTTATTGTGAGAAAAAAATATTATATTCTAGCTGAAAAGTCGACTGATAAATTCAACGAACATACCCTTGCCTACCCTGATAAGTATTCATATATAGAGAGAGAGTATACTCTGTAGCCGGCTTCAGAATACCTTAGTCTGTAGCCAGGCCGGTCCATGCAGCGTTCCGTCCGGTTTGCACGGCCTCGTTGGCTCCTTGAGCAGAGCTGACAGATGGAGCTGCATGGAAATTAATATCGCTAATTACGGTAATCACTATCCGGCCGGAGAGGCAATTTTCACGGTTGCTGATTACTGAATTCACAAATCAACGCATGCAAGTTTCGAGGATGCACCATTTGTACGGATATGGCAAGCTTCCTCGTTAATCGTAATTCTTGCTCCAAATTACTTTTTTATTAGAGCACATGGAAAGTGGATTCGTGCAGGAAGTAAATTGTTTACTAGAATCTATGCTGCCTCGTTTTATTAGTTACGATAATCTATTTACTTGACTCGAAAATTGTTTACTAGAATCTATGACTTTCTACCCTTAGTAGTTACAGTAATTATTACTAAATTTTTGCAGTAATCTTTACTAGAATTTTACATAATTATTTACTAGAAGCTACGCTTTTCTACACCAACTGTAGTTACGATAATATATTTACTAGATTTTTTTTGCAGAATTATTTACTAGAATATTTGCAAATACTAAAATGTATTGGGTATACATATAAACAGCAGAGAGCCAAGGCAAATATACGTCAAGTAGTCTCAAATAACTAGTTACTATAATGTCTACATTGATTTATCATAAAATAGCTATAATGTTTACACTGATTTCCTATCACAATGATACTACGTCTCCACTGATTTTGAACGACTCTGGGACGATCAAGATCATGCCATGTGAGCCTCAGGTCTGGCTGGAAGCTTCGTCAGTGTTCACTGGGTGCTAAAAGCATGTAGAAGTGCAGGTCTAATCCAAATTTGGGCCCCTTCTCGTGCACCTGTGGTGAATGAACACTAGAACGAATTACACATCAGTGATTTACATTATAAGCTAACCAAGATACATGATAAATCATTAACAAGAACAAATGAGTTTACTGTAACCTTGGCCTAAGTAACCACCAGAATTAATTCATGTAGTTCAGTTCTGGTTTCTAGATCAAATCGATTTCAATCTGCAAGGGTGAAAGGTAGAAAACATCACCGTGAGAATGGAGGTGTCACTGGCAAAATAAGTAAGCAAGCTTGCTTCAACCTGCAGGAGCAAGAAAAATTGAGGATAGTTGAACCATGTACATGCAGGCTCGTCAATTGGTGGACACAGTTACCATGACACAGAATTGGTTACGGGAAGATCGATATGTTATTTATGATAATTTTGTACCATAACAGGAACTAAGTTATAATATATTAGTAAGTTACAAATTATCAATGAAATTTCTAATCTGAAACAATTTGGATAAATTAGAGAACAATCCAATAGCAAACAGATTAATCAATAAAAAGTGACTAGCAGAAAAGGTTATATTAATTTTGTGACTATGATTTACGAGAAAAAAACAACACAAAAAGTAATGAACTCGAATCCATGAATTTCTAATCTGAAACCATTTTGGATTATGAAGGTTGCGGAAGAGAGATTCTTTGACCCAAATTGAGGTACATTTTCTTGCATCTCTAGTGATATAAACATGCCAGGTGTTCGTGGCTCTGGTCACCCTTCCTAGTGAAGGGCACGGAGAAGGCCAAGGGGTGAGCGACTGGAGCAGAATTGGATGTACCTGGATCAGTCGAGCGAGTGGTGGGCGGCGGTGGTCCCTGACATCGACGTGGTGGTGCTCTCCGTGACTCCGTGGGGCACTGGTTCCTGCATTTGACCCTATTCTCTATGACCACTACGTTGCGGTGGAGTGCCACGGTTGCCGCCCGGAGCCCCATCACATGCAGACAGGAGGGGAGGGAAGATGGAGCCACCGCGGCGCCGCTCTGGAGACTGGCGACCTGCGCAGCCGTGCCCTCCTGGCCGGCTGCCCGTCTTGGATTGAAGAGACGCCATGGTCAGTGGGAGGGGTCGCCGCCACCGAAAGGTCACCGCCGCCACCACGGGTACGGGCGCCATGGGAGACCATCGTTGTTGGTGGAGGCCAGTGCCGATCTGGATATGGGAAGATGAGGACGTCCACCGTTGTTGGAGGCAAGGGCTCTCCTTGGGCAGCGATGGCACATGGTGAGGGAGGGGGTCCGCCGCGGTTGGTGGTGGGGAGGATAGCCGCTACCGTCGTTGGGGGTGGGGAGGGCAGCCGCTGCCGCCGTTGGTGGTGGGGGAGCACCACCGCCGGGAGCCGGGAGCAGGGAGCCGTCAGCGTGGGACAGGCCGCTCCGCACGTCGGGGAGGGTGCGCCTGCGCTGCCGCCAGTTGGAGAGGAGGCGCCTACACGACCGCTGGTCGGTGAGGAGGCGATGCAGAACGACGCCGTGGCCAGGGGAGCCACCGCCGCCGCACTATCACACCGTTTCTTGGAGAGCTTGCATGTGAGGAGAGAGAAAGAAAATAGGAAAAATGAGAGAGTGGTCGCCAGGTAAGGGTACTACCAAGCAGCAATAAATGAAATTTGCCTCTCTTGATCCCAGTCAAAGCACCAGCTGGGGCGGTGAATGAGGATTCTTTAATCGCTCGGTACACAACATGGTCGGACCGGCCGAGCCCGACACGACGCAGCGACCCAGCTATAAAATAACTTATTTTATAGCCCGCTACAGAGAATCATATATATATAACTGTGCTAGTTGGTACCCCGGGTACTAAATAATATTCAGTACTCGACCCCTCCAGGTTGCGCCTGCTCGGACGCCCGGTTGCCCGATTCTACAGCGCACGCCTCGAACCACAGGCTGTTTTTTCTAGCGTGCGCCTCTACAATCTGCTTTCTGCCAGTTTTACTTTTAAAAAATCTAACATGGTTGTTATCGAGCCGTTTTTTCTGTTTTTTATTAAAATCTGGCGTGGTTGTCGCCGAAGACCTGTGAGCGCCACGGGTACTCCGCTGCCGCCGACGACATCTCCCTCTGGCTTGTTTGTTGTGGGCTGGTGGCGGCTTTCGTGAGGCGCGTGCGACGAGTCTTGGCGCCATCTGCGAGAGATTTTTAATCTGTCTTCTGGAATAACGGATAACGCCGTCCAGTTCTTGACAGCGTACGCAGCAGGCAGCTGCAACTAGACAGGCCGCATTCGAGACCTTGGAGGGTTACTTATCCGGGTTGGCATTAAAGTCGACTGAAGCTGTTTTGTTATGAGAGAAAAATATTGTACATTCCTAGCTAATAAGCGGACTGATAAGTTCAAACGAACAGGCCCTTGCCTACCCGGATAAGTATTCATATGTGTGAGTATACTCTGTAGCCAGCTAGCGAGCCCGGTGCGTGCAGCCAGCGTTCCGTCCGGTTTGCACTGCCTGGTTGGTTTCTTGAGAGAGCTGACAGATGGAGCTGCATGGAAATTATTATCCCTAATTACTGTAATCACTATCCGGCCGGAGAGGCAATTTTCACGGTCGCTGATTACTGAATTCACAAGTCAACGCATGCAAGTTTCGAGGATGCACCATTTGCACGGATATGGCAAGCTTCCTCGTTTATGGTAATTCTTGCTCCAAATTACTTTTTTATTAGAGCACATGGAAAGTGGATTCGTCCAGGAAGTAAATTGTTTACTAGAATCTATGCTGCCTCGTTTTATTAGTTACGATAATCTATTTACTTGACTCGTAAATTGTTTACTAGAATCTATGCCTTTCTACCCTTAGTAGTTACAGTAATGATTACTAAATTTTTGCAGCAATCTTTACTAGAATTTTACATAATTATTTACTAGAAGCTACGCTTTTCTACACCAAGTGTAGTTACGATAATATATTTACTAGATTTTTTTTGCAGAATTATTTACTAGAATATATGCAAATACTAAAATGTATTGGGTATACATATAAACAGCAGAGAGCCAAGGCAAATATACGTCAAGTAGTCTCAAATAACTAGTTACTATAATGTCTACACTGATTTATCATAAAATAGCTATAATATTTACACTGATTTTCTATCAGAATGATACTAGGTCTCCACTCATTTTGAACGACTCTGGGACAATCAAGATCATGTCATGTGAGCCTCAGGTCCGGCTGGAAGCTTCGTCAGCGTTCAGTGGGTGGTAAAAGCATGTAGAAGTGCAGGTCTAATCCAAACTTGGGCCCCTTCTCGTGCACCTGTGGTGAATGAACATTAGAACGAATAACACATCAGTGATTTACATTATAAGCTAACCAAGTTACATGATAAATCATTAACAAGAACAAATGAGTTTACTGTAACCTTGGCCTAAGTAACCACCAGAATTAATTCATGTAGTTCAGTTCTGGTTTCTAGATCAAATAGATTTCACTCTGCAAGGGTGAAAAGTAGAAAACATCAATGTGAGAATGGAGGTGTCACTGGCAAAATAAGTAAGCAAGCTTGCTTCAATCTGCAGGAGCAAGAAAAATTGAGGAATCTGCAGGAGCAAGAAAAATTGAGGATAGTTGAACCATGTACATGCAGGCTCGTCAATTGGTGGACACAGTTACCATGACACAGAATTGGTTACGGGAAGATCGATATGTTATTTACGATAATTTTGTACCACAACAGGAACTAAGTTATAATATATTAGTAAGTTACAAATTATCAATGAAATTTCTAATCTAAAACAATTTGGATAAATTAGAGAACAATCCAATA